GAACTTTAAAAACAGATGTTGGCTAAGTATCTAGACTATTGTTAAGAAAGAGTATTATATTCTTATTATAAACAAGAGTGCCAAAAATACTATATGACATAGACAACTAACAATAGATTATTGTTTCTCATAACTTTAAAAACAGTTCTAGACTGAATAACTACACTACTGTTTAAAAAGAGTATTCTTAACTTATTATTGACAACTGTGATAACAAAAACTGTATTTTGGTATGACACAGACAACTAATAATAGAATACCATTTCTCAAAATGTTAAAAATAGTTTTAAGCATAATAGCTAGACTACTACTTTTGTAGCCAACAACACCAAACAGTAGTCTGATTTTTTTAACTACTGTTTTTCCATAAATAGTAGTTAATAAACAGTCGTCTGACACTGTTTTTGGCGCAGTGTATATAAAAATTTACATTTTCTTTGAAGATTTGATCTGATCTCATTGGATTTGAATTTGATTTGATCTGGTTAGATTTGTTTTTGTCTGATTTGATCTAATTAGGTCCGATCTAATGCATTTAAAGATTAGATTCGGCAAATAGGACACAACGTAGAGAAGTAAATAGATCTTTTTGAAGATTTGATATGCTCTTATTGGACATGAATTTGATTTGATCTAATTAGATCAGTTTTTGTCCGATTTGATCTGATCTTATTTACAACGTAGTAGATCTTTTTAAAGATTTGATTTGATCTTATTGGTTTTGGATTTGATTTGATCCCATTAGATATGTTTTTGTCCAATTTGATTTAATTAGGTACGATCCGAAGCATTTAAATATTAGATCAGGGAAATAGGACACAAGGTATATGATCTTTTTGAATCTTTTTGATATGATCTTATTGGATTTGAATTTGATTCGATCTGCTTAGATCTGTTTTGGTCTAATTCTATCTAATTAGGTCTGATTTAATGCGTTTAAAGATTAGATCAGGCATATAGGACATAACCTATACAACCGAATAGATTTTCTTTGAATAATTTTGATCTGATCGCATTGGATTTGAATTTGATTTGATTCGATTAGATCCGTTTTTGTCTGATTCAATCTAATTTGGTCCGATATGCTGCATTTAAAGATTATATGAGTCAAATAGGACACAACCTACACAAGTGAATAGATCTTCTTTGAAGAATTGATCTGATCTTATTGGATTTGAATTTGATTCGATCTAGTTAGATCTATTTTGGTCTGATTCGATCTAATTAGATATAATCTAATGCATTTAAAGATAAGATCACGCAAATAGGACACAAAATATATAAGTGTATAGATTTCCTTCAAGTTTTGATCTCATCTTATTGGATTTGAATTTGATTCGATCCGATTGGATCTATTTGGGTTTGATTCAATCGAATTAGATCTAATCTAATGCATTTAAATATTAGATTGAACAAATAGGACACAACCTATTCAAGTGAATAGATTTTCATATTGGATTGGAATTTGATTTGATTCGATTAGATTTGTTTTGGTCTGATTCGATCTTATTAGGTCTGATATGATGCATTTAAAGATTAGATCAGATAAATAGGACACAACCTAGCTATACAAGTTAATATATTTTATTAATTTATAATTTGTATTTTTATTTATAATACAAATTTGAAAATAAAGTTATTTTAAAAGATGAAATATTTTTGACATCGTATGAGAGTGTAATTTGTTTTGAGACAAAAGGAGTATATGTCGGAATGCATGAGTTCAACCCTTTCTGTGTTGTTAAGTGTTGACTCACAGGTTTTGATAATTGACAAACACAATTTATTCAAGTCAAGATCAAAGCGCTACAACGACAAACACGAAGACTTGAAGTGTCACTCCTTGAAGTATTCAAGAAGGTGCACAGGATTTTATTGGAGTCCGACGCGTTCGGAACGCCTAACGGAGGACTCGGAGGAGTAGAAGATTCTCGAAGACTTTTTATTTATTTGAGTCGTAGGAATTATTGTAAGGATGACAAAAATATCTTCTCTCCAAAATTATTTTTATGAGAGTTAAAATAAAAATTATATTTATTTTTGGAGTCAGTTAGAAAAATCCTTTTAACTGTTCAAAATACATTTATTGAGTCAATTACAAAAAGTGTGTCAAACATTTATCAAAATATTTATTTTGATATTCTAAAATATTTTTGGTAAGCAAAAATATTTTATTCAAATATTTTTCCTGTTCATCATTTGACACACAAAATAATTTTTGGACTCACTTTTACTCCCTTATTCAAATTCATTGAATAAGAGGAGGAGCGTTCTCTGATTCCCGTTGTCTCAAACAACGAGTGTTAAGCCAATTCTGCTCTCCATCGCAACTGGCTTGGGCCCTTTGTGTTTGCACCATTATTCCTTTTGTAATCGATTAAATTTCTTAAATTAATCGATTAATTTACCTTGACTAGCGAAGGACTGCCTGGCCTTTTGATCTAATCGATTTTTATCTTTGTTTTAATCGATTAGTTCACGCAGAGCCTTCTAATTGATTAATCCCTTTAATTTAATCGATTTTCCTTCAGCTGCATTAATCGTTGAGGATGATGCATTAATCGATTATTAGCACAACATTAATTGATTATTATGCTGCATCGTTTCTGCACAGCTTCTTTTCTTGGACCAACGGATATATTCCTTCAACCCCTTTATAAACTTGACTCCTTGGTCATTTTTCAAAACAAGAAACACTCAAATACTCCCCATTCTTGAGGTGTTAATCCTCCATCAATCTTTCCTCAAATTTATATCATTTTGAGAGAAAACTATTTGCTTTTAAGAGAGGTTTCTTGTCATCCATTAGAGCTAAACATTTTCTCATTCCTACTTTTTTGAGAGCTATTGTTGAGAGGTTGAAGAAGATTGTTCTTCTTGTTGTTCAAGACTTATGTGACTTAAGTCTTGGTTGTGAAGTCTTGTAGAGGGCATATCTACGAGCGGTTGTGTCGAGGCTTGTGGGATTCAAGTTCTTGAGTTGTAATTGTTAGAATAAAGGCCCAACACTAGAGGGGGGGGGGGGGTGAATAGCGTTTAAAACAAAATCGCAGGAAATTAAAATGAGAGCGTTAAAGTAAAGAGCGTAAGGAAGAAGCACACCGAATTTTATCCTGATTCACCACAACGTGTGGCTAATCCAGCCCCCCGAGAGACTCTCTCGAGCTACACTAACTCCGTTAAGCTTAAGGGTGCTTAACAAGCCGATACAACTTGAGAACCCGACTCACACGAGGCTCAACACCTTTGCTCGGAGATACCGCACTCCAAGACTTCTCACGAAGGAACAAGGAACTTCCTTCGAGTTTACAACAAGGGAACAACCTCCCTTAAAGTGTATGAAAACACTTAAACACTCAAGAATAAAACTCTCACAAAGAGTAGATATGAGTGAACTAGTAAACGCTCAAGAACACGACAATTTCTTCAAGAATTGGCTCTCAAATAGCTACGAAAATTAGGAATGATTATGCAATGAAAGAGTATTGAAATGTTGAAGAATTGTGTGTAATATGAGAGGATTTGGGTGCCATTTTATAGCCCAAAATGGGATAAACCCGTTGCTAGAGTTTCCAACACGATGAAGACAAATTTTTCAGGGACACAGGCTGATAATCGATTATCCAAGCTTGATAATCGATTATCAAAAGATTTCTTGTCCAAAAATTTAAAATTCTATCCGTTGGAGGACAACGGTAACCCAGATAACCGAATGTCAACAAGTGATAATCGATTATTGGTCCTCTCAAAAGATTCTGGGTTTTGGCTGCAAAGACTGATAATCGATTATTGCATAAGTGATAATCGATTATTGCGTGCTTCAGAACTTTGGAAGTTCAAAGCTGCAGGGGCTGATAGTCGATTGTCACTAAGGTGATAATCGATTATCACCTAGCTAAAGTCTAGCCAGCTGAAACATGTTTTGAAAAACCGAGGTTCAAAGACGAAGTGTTCCCAAAAGTAAAAACTAGGTTTGAAAAATATTGTATATGGTATAAAATAGTGAAAACAAGACTTGTTTGGTAAAAACCAAGTCTCCAAGGTCGTAAAATACTTGCATACGGTTTTGACCGTTTTTCACGTGTTACACCGATTGATCAAGATAGAAAAGTGGTTTTTATAAAATAATTATTTGGGAACATTTTAAAAACGCTCAGAGGTAAAAACAGGGTTTAAAATATTGAAAACAACGGAGTTGGTTCGGGCGCCAAAAACCGAACGCCGAAAGCCGAACGCCGAAAGCCGAGTGCCGACTTAGGTGGTTTCGGTTCTGAGCAAGGACCAGGGATTTTAACAATAAAAGAAATCATCAAAAATGTTTGTTTTGATGCACAAAAAATATTTTATGATTTGTAAAAATTGTTTTGACTTTTTGAGAGCCGAGACTTGAATTTATTGTCGGTTTTGATCACAAAAGACCGACTCGACTAAGTCTTCAATTCTTGATCTTGTCCTTGAGTCTTTTTGGTCTTGTTCCAAGCCATTCTTCACGCCTTGAGTTATTCAACGAAACTCTTTATATCCATGGCGGTTTGGCAATTATCAAAACGTGTGAGAAATGAACACGACTATAGTTTAGCGTACAAAGTGTGTTCCAACAATTTCCCCCTTTTTGATAATGGCAAACAAGACGGGGATATTCATAGGGTTTTGATTTTTTTTCGAAAAAAAAGTCCCCCTTAATATATGCATAGCCCTTATCTTCCCTCTTTTGACATTAACAAAAAGATTTTTGATAACAAAAACCATAAAGATTTTTATTAATTAATTAAGGGAAATAGCGGAGTACATGACGAAAGCATATTAAAAAGCATAAAAAGAATAAAGAAGAGAAGGGAATAGAGCTAGAGCTCTAGAAGTCCGGTGAAAGATCATTGAGAAGTTGGTCTTCGTCAATGTCTTCTTCTTCATCGTCTTCATCTTCATCATCATCTTCGGCTTCTTCTTCTTCCTCTTCTTCTTCCTCTTCCTCATCGTCCACCTCTTCATCTCTACCAACGTTTTGAGTCCCGCTCTGTTCACCTCCGAAATTCGGTGGAGGAACCTAAGGGACCATTTGAGCATACGGGTAATTGACAAAGTCAAAATACCCGTGAAGTTCACGGCTCAAGGTATTGACGTTGTGTGCGGTTTTGGAGACGTTGGTGTCAATCCGAGAGAGAGTGGCGGTCAAGGCTGTCATTTGCTCGGCGAGAGAAGGATTGGTCGAAGTGGTGGCGGTTGAGGCAGTGGCTCTCGGTTGGCGGCGTGGACGAGGCTGTCGAAACGGAGTCTCGTCGGTGCCCGAGTGGAAAGAGGATTCATCAATCTCCCAATGCTTTGTCCCCTTTATCTTTGGCCCAACATCGGTTTTGATGTTATACTCTTTAAGAATCGCCATGACGAGGAGGGCGTAGGGGAGCGGCCGGTTGTTGGAGGTGGCGGTGAACATGTGAGTCATCACAAATTTACACCAATTAAGATTGGCATTGTGAATCATCGCATGAATTGTCTTCGTGTCCTCCTGGGAGAGAGTGGTGTGATTGAACTTCCTAGGCTTGAGAATCCGTGTCAAAACATAAAAAATGAATCGAAACACGGGACTCATGGAAGCAATCGTAGGGCGCCGCTGTTGGGGAGTGGGGACGAAGTGTCGGATGCCCACTTCCTCCAAGAGGGCGGTCTCGTTGAACCGCGCTCCTTCTTCTCCGACGTAGAGCCCGAGATCCTGTCCGTCCCGACGAAGCCCTGTGAGAATTTGAATGTTTTCCTCATTCAAATAGATGTCCACCCCGTTGACGTTAGAGATCAACGCTCCGTCCTCATCCTTTTTCAAGTTCGAGTAGAAAGCTTGAACAAGAAAGGGGTGATAATTGACCTTCTTGATGTAGAGGAGGTCGAGGAAGTTTCCACGTTCGAGGATAACCCGTGCCTCACGTGGAATGGAGTCATGAATGAAGCGGGCGGTGGAGAATCGGGGAGGGAGAATTTCCCGGTGCTCAAACTTCTCCGAGAACCGCGTCGCCTCTGCGCGGTCGTTGAACCATAAGTAAGATCCGTCGAGGTATTGGTGCGCCGGTGTTGGAGGAGCCGAGGAAGAAGCCACGTTCTTGCCGGTGCGGGATCGTTTTCTTTGACCTCCTGCCATATCAACAAAGAGTAGGGGGCAGAGCAAGGCAAAGAGAAAATTGCAGAAATTTGGAAAGAAAATGAAGAATAGGAGCAAGAATGATGAATTATGATGAATATTTGGAGAAAGTATGATTTGAGTGAGTATAAAATGAATAAAGATCACCAATTTATAAGGGAGTGGGCTGGAGATCCGTTGGGGAGTTCAAAACATGCATTAATTGCTCTCCAAACGTCTCTGCAACGGTCAGATTTTCGAAAAATCGTCGTTGATAATCGATTTACACTCCCTGTAAATCGATTATCTAAGTCTTCAGATTCTCCGTCAAAGAAACTGCAGGCTTCAATAATTGATTTCTGCCTTAGTTGTAAATCAATTGTTGGAGAGGATTTGCCTCAAATTTCTAAAGGCTTTAATAGTCGATTTACATGTTTTTTGTAAATCGATTGTTGATGTCTCCAGCTAAGTTTCCTCAAACTCCTGCAGCCTCAGATAATTGATTATCTCAATGTTGATAATCGATTGTTGGCTCCTTCAGTTTCTTTGCTCCAACTCCTATGGGTTGTGATAGTCGATTATCACAAGCCTGTAAATCGGTTGTTCACATTCCCCCTGACTTCAACGCCTACTATGAAAACATTTTGGTACCCGTTTGGTCTTTTGGGTCCTTGAGGATTAGTAACACGACTTTTTAAACTAATAAACACACGCACCCATAATCACATACACATGGTACGCAAACACACACCCACACACATGTACCAACACGCGTGTTTAAGTGTTACCTTGGCCAACTCGTCGTTTTGCGGTTGGCGGGTTCCAGTCTACTCGAACCGAATGTCTATATCTCAGTTTGATTTGTGTGGGTTCCGGAAGTGGTATGTGAATCTTCTTCTTTTCATCATAATAGAAGAAGTAATATGGTTTCTTTTGCGTTGATTCCTGCAGGGATTGGTTAGAGTTCGAATATCCTTTTTCAAAGGATTTCATTAGGTTAGTTCTATGCAAAGTGTGTGTTTTGTTATACGTCTAATGCCTATGCCTACTAAAACACACGGGTGCTATATGACCTACCCTATTGCAGTAATGACAAATAACATTTGGATTATGCATTTTCCTAGGTTGATAATAGTTGCTAGGTTTTCTAACTTGACCATTGTTCATCCTAGTGTTCTTTCTAGGTGGTCTAGTGTTCCTAATTGTTCTAGGTTGTCTATTTTCTTGATTTCCATTATTCCTAAGTTGAGCTTTAGGTTTCCTAGATGGTTTCTCAACTTTTTCTTTATTATTAGGTTCATTTTCAAAACCTAAGCCATGTTTAGTAAGTTGCAAATTGTCAAGAACAGCATTAAGGTTTTTATGAGAAACACCAAACTTCTTCAAAGTTCCTTCAAGTTTTGCAACTTGATCCTTATGTGATATGCAAGAACTACATTTTGAACTTTCCGGTTTGTCGGCGCTTCTTTTTCCAAAAAACTTATTTTCTTCTTTAAGTTTTTCATTATCTTTTGATAGTTTATCAACTTCCTTCTCCATGGAAGTAAGTTGTTTCTTCAAATCCTTGTTAATTTTAGAAGTGTTGACATATTGTAGTATTTCAAGTAATTTCCGAAGAACATGTAGTAGTTTTCATATCCTTAGAAATCTTCACCATGTATGGAGAAGGCCACCAAGGAGCACACGGTACTCCGTTTCCAACCGCGAGAGTAAAAGAAGCGGAAGGCTACTGAGCAGCGGCCTTAGTGGAGGGGTACTCTACATCCGAGCCACGAAGAACTTGTAAAATAATTTGTTCTTGACGTTTGGACATTTTTGTTTAATATGCCCAACTTCTCCACACCATAGCATTTGGGTGGACTTCCTTGCTTCTTTCCTTTCCGTTCATACTCTTGGCTCATGAACCTATGGAATTTCTTGAGCACGATCCCGAACTCGTCTTTGTCACTCGAGTCCTCCACATCACGTTCTTGACTTGTGGACGCCTTGAGTGCAATCCCATTCTTCTTTTATTCACCTAAAGAGGGGTAAAGAATGGTAGACTCATAGGTTTTGAGGTTACCTCTAAGCCCGTCAATGGTGACACTGGTGATGCCGATAGATTCTTGGATAGCATCGGCTTTGGAGCGCCATTCCGGTGTGAGACTCTGCAGGATTTTTCTTACAAGCTCCTTGTCCGTGTATGTCTTCTTGAGAGAATGAAGATCGTTTATGATTTTTGAAAATCGTTCAAACATATCGTCGATTTTCTCGTTCTCCTTCATATGAAATAGTTCATACTCATGGGTTAGAAAATCTATCTTAGCTTATTGGACTTGATCCGTACCTTCATATGTGATTTCTAGCTTGTCCCACATTTCCTTGGCGGTGGAACAACAAGAGATCTTCCGGTAGTCATCCGGGTTTACTGCACAATAAAGAATGTTGATAGCCTTGGCGTTGTTCTCTATTTTCTTGATATCCTGCGAAAGGGTCTGACTTTTAAATGGTTTGCTAGGGTCACTTCAAGTGCCTTGGGGAGATTTTGAGAAATACTGTATGCTCTGATTTGAGGAATATCTCTGGACTGGTGTGTGCGCTGATGTGTTCTGAACTGTGAATAGTCATATACACGGCTGCTCTGGATTGAGGAAGGATGCTTGCTGTCAAACAAGACTACTGACTTGCGGACTAGGATTGCTGATGATGATTGCCTTGCTAATTATTTTTGCTGATGATGCTTGCTGGTTAAAAACAATACCCAGTGGGATTTGAAAATATTAAATGCTGAAGCTTTTGGAGTGGCATCTGCTTACCTTGGAACTGAAAGCTGCTGCCCTGGATTCTATTGGGATTGGATTGCTTTGGTCTCTCCCAATGTGGTAGGGAAGGTTGATATTGGTTGTATTGTTTTCTTTTTGCATTGGTTTCGTTGTTGTATCGGTCTAGTATATGTGTTATACATGGTTGTACGTTGTTGCTTTATGTTGTATGTTGTATGTTGTAGTTGTATCATTCTATGCATGTAACCATTTTCATGGTTAAGCATTGGACATTGTTGTACTTGCTTGATTTGGTGTAATAATAATTTACATGTTACCCTTGATATCCTGCGCATCGTATTCGTCTTCGGTTTTGGGAACGGTGGTTTCCCCAACTTTCTTCATGGGCACTTCTTCCCCATTCTTGATAATTCTCCATAGGAGAAAGTTGTTGGATTGGATGAAAATTCTCATTCGCTCCTTCCAATATGTGTAATTCGTTCCATCAAATAATGGAGGCCTCGTGGTGGATTGCCCTTCTCCTAAACCTGCGTATAAGTTTTGAGTAGAAGCCATTGATCGTTTCTCTCAAACGGTTAAGTCTTTCAGAGAGTAAGGCTCCGATACCAATTGTTAGAATAAAGGCCCAACGCTAGAGGGGGGTGAATAGCGTTTAAAACAAAATCGCAGGAAATTAAAACGAGAGCGTTAAAGTAAAGAGCGTAA